CAACCAATGGATTTCTAGAAGAATCCTTTTCAATTTCTACAGAAGTGAAAGAGAGAGAATTTATTGATGGAGAAGTAAATTTCTGACACCACCAAAGCACTGGTGATTGTAGGCTTTGGGAAAGAGAGAGAACGGACACAAAGAAGAGGATCTTCTTCCTGCTTCTCTGAGCGCTCCCTATCTGCCTGCTCCCCTAAGAGTCCTGGGGGAGAGGAGAGAAAGAAGGAGGAAGGGAGGGCAAGGTATTGCTTAGCACTGCCCAGGAAAATTGGGTTATCAGTATTTAGTTTGCCTTTACCAGAACAAAGAACAAAAAGCAAATGATCAATACCGATCCTGAATGAATGAGCTGATGGATGAATGAATGCTCTAGATGCACACATGAGATCAGTTCTGTTCTCTTTCCCTATCTATGTTTCTGGACCTTTCAGAGTATATTATTTTTAACTATGCAACTAAAAACACATTGGGTTACCATTTTAATTACTATGATAGTCACATCAAAAATATAAGCAAAATTATGAATGAGAGATATACGGGTCTAATGTCTGCATAATCATTACTTGCCACATTATAAAGACATTTTGCCAACAGAGCTATGACCTCTGTTGGCAGCAAAGCCATGGACACTGCTATAACTACTGCCATGGGTTCTTACTCTAATAGAAACAGGAATGCAAGCATTGGGTTTAGAGATTAGTGATACCCAACTATTTTTTCCTCAACTGAATTCTGTACATCTGTAGGTGAGAGTGCCAACCTAGGTAAATGATAAACCCCTTTGTAATTCTACCTAGCTACAGTCACTGAGTCACACCCCTTCTTTCTCAGTAGAGAATAGTCACAAGGAGAAATAAGCCCACTCCTCTCCTTTCCAACCACTAGGGAAAAAAATTCTAGAAATGCCCTTACTTTTTGCTGTGACAGAGGAGAAGGGAGCATTTACTGACTTAGAAATGAATTACTGACACAACCAGGCCTTCCTAGCATACAGGCAAGTACATATGTAGCACCATTAACCCCAATTAACTATAATTCCTGTTCCAGCCCCCACCTGCCCACACAGGCCCTCTGGCCCCCTTGAAAAGTCCCAACCAAGTATTTCTAGGACTCCAGCGAGGGAAACTTCAAAGAGCCCACAGGCAGTCTGACAGCCAGTCACAACACCATCTGCTGCTTCCTCCTGCTAGTGCCAGCTCCCCCTAGTGTCCTCAGGAAGGCAGCCCTCTGCCACCTCTGCAGATGGTGCCCACAGCAAGAATGCTAATGCCCAGATGCCCCACAGCCAACAGAGCCCTGCACCCAGGCAAGACAAGTTCGTGCCTTGAGTCTCATACTTTAAAAGGCCCACGTGCCATAAACCCCACCACCACACACACACACACACTGTATACAATACACAAAGTTTATCACCACCTTTGTCACCAGCATCCAGGAGCCTATAATCCTAAACCACGACTACAACTGTTTAGGTTCCTGGGGGATCCTTTTGCCTAATCTTTTTGCACAGATTAAAAAGAAAATAATTGAAATGAGTGACCGAAAGATTTGCAGGCTGGGACACTGAAGAGTGTGTAGGTAGACACGATTGCAAGTGCACAGGTTCAAGCAGCCCAATACTTGAGTTAAATAAAGGACATAGTGCCTAGCTGTGGCTGCCAGCATGAACACAAAAGACTTGCTTAACAAAAGCCAGCCACACCAAGCATCCCTTTGCTTCTTTCGCTCAGTGCTGTCTGGTCAGTGGCTCCACAGTTGTTGATGAATTAATGCAGTGTTTACAACAATCTCACATGACACTTGAAGAGTATTTCAAAATTAAGCATTCCTTCTTAGTCTGCTATTAGTAAAGATGTTGGCCACAGGAAACATGATGTTAATTATTTATAGTCACATATAAGTCAGCATTTCAGACTGAGTCTGTACATGGTTTTAGCTCCACCAAAACAGCTTGAGACTTAGTTACATTTAAACAGACACATAGAAATTGTTAGAATAATTTACTAGTGTGTGTGTGTGTGTGTGTGTGTGTGTGTGTGTGTGCGCGCGCGCGTGTGTGTGCGTGTATGCTTGAGTTCTTAAAATAATTTTGGATTAAAAATGTTTCATTTATTCATTATAATGCAGACTTTCTTTTTAATGTATAATTTTGGATATTTACTAAACCACTTTTTGAAATAGTTTTTAAAACTTTTACAATTATCATGCTTTACTTTTATGAAATATATTCATGTTTTGTATAATTTGAGTATAATTACATTTCAGTTTTAATTGGTTTTATGTGTGTGTGCGCACACACATTACATGAGCACACACGTTACTATGAGGGTACCAGTACTGTGTACCCTACGGTACAGTTTTCATCCAAAGGTCAGAAGGCCACCTCAAGTATCAATCCTCATTTTGGTCCTTGTATGAGACAGATTCTTTGGTTTACTGCTGATACATAAAGCTAGTTGGCTCTAAGCTTCTGGGAATTCTCCCATCTCTTCATGGGACTTCTGGAATTACAGACATAGGCTACAGTGCCTGGCTTTTATTCATTAAGCCATCTTCTCACTCACCCCCATTTTGAGACAGCATTTTCTGTATCTGAGACTGGCTTCAAACTCACTATGGCAGAGGATGACCCTGAACTTCAGAGTGCATGGGCCACCATGCTTGGCTTATAGGCTGCCAAGGATGGGACCCAAGTTTCCAGAGTGCTAGGCAAGCACTCTGTTCACTGAGCTGCATTCCTGGAATTATTTTAAATCTTCTAGGTCACTGGGAATAGTATAACTGAGAACCTTGGCATATGTATCTTCTTATGTTCCGAAACATAAAAAGTACCCCCCCACACACACACAAAACCTAAAAAGAGTCATTTGGCTTAACATTTAAAGCTTCAAACAATGAGAAGTGAGCAAGCTTGTCAAGCTGACCCACATAAAATACACTAACAGGATATTTCAAATTCCTTATTTGATGAAGATTTAATTGATGCTCAAAACAATAAAAAGGAGCCAGAAAATTATTCCCAACACACCTACAACTTGAACACCTAAGAAGAAATCACTAGAAACTTCATGGTCTTTATAGATAAAGATTTCATTGCTGATTAAATTAAAAAATGTCGGGGACTCTTCACTTGAACCCTTATACTTGATGACCAACAAACAAATCCTGCCAGCTCGGACTGTCTCCCCAGTTACAAATTCTTAAGACCTAAATTTAGCTTGGCTTACAGTCCTTTCTCTTCTTCCAATGCTGTCAAAAAGTAAGTTCCATCCGGGTTTTCCCCCTTGTAGCAGGATCCCTCAGCCCCAGGCAGGGGAACTAAGGAGGCAACACACATGTGTCCCATTGCACCTCTGGGCAGCTACCACTGCTTTCTAGCTGGACACTAAACCACAGCTGATCCTCGAGTGGGAACACGTACAAGAGTAAGTATGGAGGTAGTCTGTAGCTGAATTCTGATACCATTGTTACTTACAGGCAAAAATGAGGACTTAATTGAGCCCCTCATTCATCTTTGTTCCATCTCTCTTCCAGCCAGGTTCCTGGCTGCCATGTACTCCCTCACCTTCACACCTCACATATTTATTAAAACAAGTATCCTTTTGTCCAGCAACAAAAGCCAATGGGGGCCTAGCAGGCTACCAAAACCATCATTTCATATTTCTGGCATCATCTGTTACTCAAACAAATCTTGGACCAAGCATTTTAACAACTTAATGAACACATGACTATTTTGAATAGAATTGTCTCTTTTATATTTCAAAGCCTGGGGGAAAGACTTTTCTTAGTCGTCTAGATTGAGGGACTAGCTCAAAATAATCTGTAATAAATTTTGGTAAAAGGAGTATTGACTTTCTTGTCTCAAACACAGAAGGAATTTTAGAGATTTTGAAGATATACAGTGAAACCCATTGTGTGTGTGTGTGTGTGTGTGTGTGTGTGTGTGTGCACGTGAGTAGAACCCCCAAGGATGGCATCAGGTATGCTGCTTCATCATTCTGTACCTTATTCCTCACACTGAGTAAGGATTTAGGCTAGCAACCAGCAAGTGCTATCAATCCTCTGCCTCTGCCTCATTCACAGTGCTGGGGTTACATAGCCAATTTTTTATGCAGGGCTAGAGATTCAAACTTAGACCCTCAGGTATGCAGAGCAAGTATTCCTACCCACTGAACTATTTTCCCAACCCTGAAGTCCAGTTTCACACACACACACACACACACACACACACACACACACACACACACACACCACTCCTA